AAGACAATCACAAGCAATTCCTTTTGCCAACCGTCTGCATGTTGGTCTTCACTACATCCATGAACCTCCTCTGAGGTCTTCCTCTTCTCATCCTGCCTGGCAGCTCTGTCTTCATCATCCTTTGTCCAACATCCACCCTCCCTCCTCTCTCAGCCTCAGCTCCATCCGATTGGCTCACGTCCGTCCTGCTCGGCCTCCTGTCTGTCACACCAGCGCCTCTCTCTGTCCACGTGGAGATGAAAGCTAGTCTGGTTTTTTTTCTTCTAAATTAGCTGCTAAAGCTTTAGATGGTTTCCAATACAGGTTTTTTATTTTGCCTCTGTCAGTGCGCCCCAGGGCGGCTGTGGCTACATGTAGCTTCATCACCAGTGTGTGAATGTGTGGATGTGTAAAGCGCTATACAAACACAGGCCATTTACCATTTACCATTTACCATACTTAATCTGTTGCTCCCCAAAAGGCCCCTCCCTTCTTATTGCCATTGTCCAGAAGCCATCAGAGGGGCAGCAGCCAAAGTGTGTTTGCTAAGAAAACAAACTGAAAACAGAATCAGTTCTTGGCTGAAAGCCTCTCAAATGCATCCAAGGATGCATCGGAGAGCAGACAGGGATCGCACCACCAACCTGCTCGACCACCTGAGCTACAGACACCCCAAAAAATATCAGTAAATATCAGTGATTATCACACTCTGGGGCTGATTATCGAGGTTTTTATGCTGGAATGAAATAAATTTGTGACTCTGCTGAATAAAAAAATCATGAAGGACAAAAAGCGTCTGAAGCTGAGCATCCAGAGCCGTGTGATTCACTTCTTTTACACTCTGGCCATGTTTGACCCGGAGATCCATCACTTCAAATATTCCAGTCGTGTATTCCTGACGTATCGTGGAGGCGGGGCCTGTTTAACCTCCTCAGCTCCCCTTCAGCAGTGAGGTGGACGTGTTTAATAGAGCCGAGTCCTGAGGGAGCTGAGTGAGAGGCTGACCTCCTGAGACCTCATTACTGCGAGGTCATGCTGGGACTCGTCCTGTAGGCTGCAGCTTCCTGTCAACGCCGGCCAGCGGGAGCTAATCCTGCTAATCCTGGTAACAGTGCCACCTGAGCTCTGATCCGCCCTCCCGAGGACAGAGAAGGTGAAAAATAGATCTTTGTGTGAAGGATACCTTCTGTTTTTAATGTGTGGGTGGATGACTCGTTTGTTTCGTGTGTTTTACCCTCACGTTCCACTTATTCGGTGCGTTAAGCTTTAAACCTACGACTGTTGTACATGAAACTGACAGTGACGCTCTCAGTATCGACAGAGGGCACGCGCCAGCACAGGCCCCAGGCTGTAATAGGTCACTTGTCCTTCTAAGTTCACATGCCGACCTGATGGTGGCGCTGTTATCTTTGATCAGATGCTTAAACTCAGGCACAGCGATGAGGGTCACTGACAGAACAGCGTGATGATGAGGAGAGTTCATCATTTAAAAGCTGCATGAAGACAAACACATCGATCGCTCTCATCTCGAGATCCTTTATTGGTCACATGCATAGTTACACGAGTTCATCACGCAACAGCTCTGTGGGAAAACCTCTGAATTAACCCACAAATGTCTCACTTGGCTCCACATCATCAGTTTCCAGGACGAAGCTCCAGTTCATGAGTCTGGAGATCTGGAGAAAATGCTGATGGAGCTCCACAAGTCTCCAGACTGACCTCAGAGCAGCGGAGCAGCGAGGCCAGGCTGCAGCGACTCAGTGCTGACTGATCTGGGATCAGTCGGAGTGTTGATCGCTCTGATGAGAGTTTAATATCTGCCGACATAAAGAAGAAGATTTCCTTTAGAATCATCATTTCAGGTATTATTTGCACCTGTTTGCAGGTGATGCATGACTCGCTTTACTCTTCGCTGCTTCCTGAGTCAACAGGACATTTAAGAGGATTAACATCGACTGCTTGGCTTCGTTAACCCCTGCACGAACATGTTGCTAATCTGCCCGGAAACAGACAGATGGCGATCAGAAAGAACGAACTCTAATCAGCTGTCATCAGGATTTTTTGTCCACTTCTAATTGGCTGCTGAAAGCTGATGTAATCACTGAGGTCATGACCTTGCAGGTGTCTCTGGTCTTAACACGGCTGATAAGCCAGAACCAGGTGAAACCGCTGAGCATTGCGGGACAGTGAGGAGGAGCAGCTTCAGTTTGAACCAGTTTACATCAGATCAACTTGACACAAGATTGATCTGATTCATGATCGGAGCATCCTTACGAGAGCGTAAAGGATGCTCCGGTGTCTCCTCTGCCAAAGGAAGTAATAAAGGAAGCACTGAAGCTGATCTGACTTCAAGTTGACGTCAGGAAGTCTGACACCATCCTGTCATCCTGTGGATGAACTGCTGAATGACGAGCAGGCACAGCCCTGCTCTCCCGTCTGTTGCACCTGATCAGTTTAAAAGGAGAGTTTCACGTTACTGTGCAAACACGGTGTTTTACAACCATCACGACAAAACAACTGGACGGGCTTCACCTGCACGCACCAGCAGGTTGAAGGGCATCAGTCTTAATAATAAGGTATCCAGCACAATGCCAGGGTGTGTGCGATCATAAAACACACACAGACCTCTGAGAAACTCACACACGGTTCAGGTTTAACTGCAGACAGCTTTCAGCAGGATCCCTGTGAGCGTCCACAGAC